CTCATCCGGAACATCCCTAAAGAATCTCGCGAGGCGTTTTTCCGTGGACGAAATATCATTGTGCAAGGTGTGCCGGAAAATATGGACCCAGCTCAAGCAAACTCTGATATTCGGGAATGGAAATTCATCAAGCATTCCTTAAAACTCAAGAACATATTGACCCAACAGGTAATGAGACTGGCCAAGAGAGACGGAGACTCTAGGCCCCGGCTGCTGAAGATAACCTTCCCCTCCTCCCACATGGGGGCTGAAACTCTGGAAGCATTTCGTGCCAATAGACGTCGGTTGCCAACTGGCATTCATATGCATCCGGATAGGCCCCACGACAGCAGGATCAAGCACAAACGAAAGCTGGAGCTGACAATTCCACTCGTGGACTGTCTTGATCATAAAAAAAGCGTGTAAAGGACAGGGACCACCAACTCGGTAAACATCGTATAGGTAGGCTACCTGTCCACTAACACACGGCTCATAAAGACAAACAAGAAGAGGCTCACGCGTTCCAAATTGAAAGCATAAACTGCCTATACATGAACGCCGCGAGCTTGCCAAACAAAATGGATGAGCTACGTGAACTTAGCAACGCTAATGATGCCCATCTGATAGGAATATCCGAAACTTGGATAACGTCTCAGTTTACGGACCAAGAGTTAGCAATAACTGGGATGTCTTTATTTCGCAACGACAGAAAAACAGGAATGGGGGGTGGGGTAGCACTATACTTACGGTCATGCCTGGATGCGCGCCAACTTCACAACCAAGAGTTTCACAATCTTGACGAGTCAGTATGGTGCTCAGTAAGATTATCTACCACCTCGAGGTGCCTAGTTGGGGTCGTTTACAGGAAGCCCACTGCCGACATCGAATATGACAAACGTCTGCTGGAAGGATTAACTCGCTCTACGCGTCTCGGATTCTCTCATATCCTGATTCTAGGGGATTTCAATCTCCCTAGAATCAACTTCGTGGAACATACATACATTGGTGGTGCCAACTCTACTGAAGCTCTGTTCTTCAACCTTATCGGCGACCTGGGATTATTTGAAAATGTGAAGTCGGCAACCCGTTGGAGAAACAGTCAGACGCCGTCACGCTTAGACTGGGTATTCACAAACGAAGAATTCCTAGTTGACGACCTCTCAATCCTGGCTCCCCTGGGCAAAGGTGACCACGCCGTCTTATCATTCAGCTTTGTCAGCAAGACGGACCTACGATATCCTACTAGCAACAAGCGCTGGAACTTCAAACGGTTGAATGTGTCAGCTTTACAGGACTATCTTCAACAGGTGGATTGGGATGTTCGCCCTCAAATTGAAGTGGATGCTCATTGGGATTTTTTACTGCACACGATCTTATGTGCTACTGAGCATTCAGTTCCTAAAATGGTCCCAAAAAGCTACAAGCAACCTGCAATCATCAAGACCGCACTCGTCGTTTGTTAAGCCGCAAAAGGCACTGTTGTGCTGAATATAAACGAACTGATAACAACGGCGCGTACAGGCAATACAAACATATAAGGAACGTATGCACAAAGGGAATAAGAGAAGACAGGCTTCAGTTCCAGACCAAGCTTATCGATAGATTCGTCTCCAATCCGAAAAGCTTGTTCAGCTATGCAGCTTCTCTTCGACAAGGCAAAACTGGAGTTTCCCAACTGCTTGGTCCTAATGGCCCGACCAACAACGACGGTGATGCCGCTAACCTTTTGGCTGAACATTACTCCCGGACATTCCAGCTGACCCACATCAACCATACTGACGAAAGCTTCACCTGCACCTGTACAGGAATTTCCGAAGTGGACCTGAGTGCTGACTTGGTGCTCCGCAAACTGCAGAACCTAAAAAAAGACACTTCTCCTGGTTCGGACATGGTTCATATACATGGTTCAGTATACATGTTATATGATATCTCTTAGTGGTCGAAATATTAGTGAATGTAAACCGAAAACATTAGGTTCAACAAGTTTAACGAAAATAAATCATGTATTTACAATGACTTTAAAAAGGTAAATACACAATAAGTGAATAGTGAAACTATAAAACACCATTGCTCATACGAGGCGTAAGCCATAATTTTAGTCGAAAAGCATCTCTTCCATTCAAATAATAACGAATAAGTCTTTTGTCTCTGTAGAATCCGAGCTGCTCATAAAGTGAAAGGGCTGCTTTGTTGTCAACTTCTGCTTCTAAAACGATCTAAAACAATACAAAGAGTGAAGTATAAAAACATATGGAAGTTTATCATACACATGTAGAATTTAGAAATCCAAAGACAGGCTGTTGAGAACTGATGGATAGTATTTGGGATGAAGTTTATGACTTCTACCGCTATAACAAACTAGTACCAATTCAATGTGTACGACCTCGATGCGTTGACCAGCCTTGCCTACTATGATGGCTCACTTAATTAATACCGTGATGCTGATTCGGTGTTAAGAATTGGGCTAACACATATTTGTGTCAGGTTTCACACTGATTATGACCAACTGACTTATATCACTGAAAACGTTACGACGAAACAAGCCGAGAAGTTGTTAAGGGAAAATTATCTACTTTTTTAGTATGAATGATTGAGTGACATGGCACGGGTGGATGAAGTGGAATGAAGCAGTAGTGGTGTTCTCTGTTTTGTAAGGATAACATAAAAAATCAACTGGAGGAAGTGAACGTTTTACCTGCCCATTTATGTAAAAGCACACACTACTTTAGGCCCAATAATCCTCTGGAGATCCAAGTTCTTATCCGAGATTCCTTTCTAACAAAACTATATGCCCAAACGAGTACTAATATTGTGGAATCTGATGAAACTTAACAATTAGGGAGAAAGTTGTGTATCCAGCTTTGAACAATACGTCTCGCAGGAAGGCTAAAAATACTATCCAGTTAACTAAACTGGAATTGAAATGAGGTTTCGATGGAGTTGGGGATTGAATGCTTAAACCTTAGGATTACACTAAATGAGTATTGCGTACTCTATATTTACAGAAGAGAGGGCAACAACAAATTTCAACACCGATGAATGTCTCGGATACTGGTGAATAAAAATTTATAACATGACAGAAAAGAATCGGATGATTGCGAAAACAGCACAACAATACTGTTGATACGAATGTGAAAAGAAAAATGTTGAAAAAGCCATCTCACTTCATCACACCTATCTTGAATCATAAGTTCGATTGCTAGTTGAACCAACCGTGATCCTATGTTAGATAAAAATTAATTAAAATAGAATGCGATAAACCAATGCCAATTCTACGGTGATTTTTTTCAACTGCAAGCATAGCTATATATCCTCTTCGAACATTTTCTAAATGAGTTTCCATTTTGCAAACAATTGTGCCCACACAAGTATCGTCCTCACTAACAGCCTTTACAGTTCAATAATTAACACAAATTCACAAGACAAACCAATAAACACAGCTTTGGCCAGTTGTATATAAAGTATCGATAAGTATATATAGAATAAGGTTCGGAGAGATCGTTAGCAATGAGATTGATAATGCTATTTAAATCTGATTCGCCAATATACTGCCGAAACGTGATTCCATTTTGTATATCTTTGAATAGAGGTTCATGTGGTTGAACTAAAAAGTCTAGAATCTAGACAAATTGTATCCTACATTCTTCTTCACTTCGACATTTTTCCGTCAGAACGACTTTGTTAAGCTCGGTAGAAAGTTTAACATCTTCTGACATCTCCAGTTGCCTACATGCTGAATTATAAAAAAAAGAAAATGAAACAAACACAACAAAAACGTATACTAGGGTTGAAGTAATACTTAAGATTTTCACGAGTGATTCGGCTTTATAACACTATTTTGTTTAATAATAGTAAGTTATATACTAAAGAGGTTGTAGCAAGAATGTATTCTTTACCATGTAGAATGGTCTGAAGGCATTACTTGTCTACGAACGCTAGTATGGTGAAATGTTAAAAAACAATAAATAGGAGGTCTTGGATCTTTTTATTTGGAAAAAACTTCAACCCTCCCTCTACTCAGGAATTTATTGTCCCATCAAACGACCTATCAGAAATAGCGTGTTTTCTTGGAAAAGAAATGAAGGTGTTGATGTCGAAAAAATAACTAAATACTACATACTATCGCCAGTTGAGGCTGATATATATATATATATATATATATATATATATATATATATCCCTACTTAGATCCATGTGTTACGGTATCCTCATGTCTTCCGAACCATAAAATTACAGGATTTTATCCTAAGATTCGCTAAACTCAAAGCAGAAAAACTTCTGATGTTGCACTTGGTAGTTGTTATAGAAAAACACGATTCACTGTCATAATCTAATTACTAGCTAAAAGTGTCTATATATAAGACAAATAGCTAAGTTAACAAATACACCGAGCCCAATTAGCTCACTGGCAAATGACAATTTTTTTATGAGTTTGTGATGGCAGATTTAAATATGATACATATTTCTGCTAGTGGCGCTAGTATCCTTAATACTTCTGGTCATCCCCTTAAACAACTTCTTAAGCTTAGTCATAACACTAACCTCAGAGGTAACACCCAGAAATTGGAGACCCTACATAGCAGAACAGACTGCAGACACAACTTCTACTCCGTTAGATTTGTCAAGTGCTGGAATTCGCTGCCGACTGAGCTAGTCCAAGCGACCTCCCAGGAGTCCTTTAAGAGGAAACTTGACTTATTCTTAAGAACTAAGGATAACATATTATTATGATTTACCAAACTTTTTTCCCCTCTATTATCGTTCATATACCTAGGTTCTTGCCTGGGGGTATTGGTGATCCACTGCTACCAGACACGGAAGCCCGTTAAGCGAAAGCTTCTTCTATTCCGTCCTCAACCATTTGAACCATTTGAACCATTCCATCTGTTAATTTACATATGTTCCCACTTGAAGCCACCAGTGATCCACTGCTGCTAGATATGGAGGCCTATTAATCGAAAGCTTATTCCAATCAGTCTATATCCATTTGAACTATTGGAACCGATAGGTCTTAAGCTTTTACCCGCTGAATTTAGAAGCCCTGCGTGACCTTGAGGAAGTAATAGTGGGTTCACAACACCATTGTTTTCTTTCTACTTTCTGAATTTTCACAGATTGTGATTACAGAATTTAGCAGAAATATGTATCATATTTAAATCTGCCATCACAAACTCATAAAAAAATTGTCATTTGCCAGTGAGCTAATTGGGCTCGGTGTATTTGTTAACTTAGCTATTTGTCTTATATATAGACACTTTTAGCTAGTAATTAGATTATGACAGTGAATCGTGTTTTTCTATAACAACTACCAAGTGCAACATCAGAAGTTTTTCTGCTTTGAGTTTAGCGAATCTTAGGATAAAATCCTGTAATTTTATGGTTCGGAAGACATGAGGATACCGTAACACATGGATCTAAGTAGGGATATATATATATATATATATATATATATATCAGCCTCAACTGGCGATAGTATGTAGTATTTAGTTATTTTTTCGACATCAACACCTTCATTTCTTTTCCAAGAAAACACGCTATTTCTGATAGGTCGTTTGATGGGACAATAAATTCCTGAGTAGAGGGAGGGTTGAAGTTTTTTCCAAATAAAAAGATCCAAGACCTCCTATTTATTGTTTTTTAACATTTCACCATACTAGCGTTCGTAGACAAGTAATGCCTTCAGACCATTCTACATGGTAAAGAATACATTCTTGCTACAACCTCTTTAGTATATAACTTACTATTATTAAACAAAATAGTGTTATAAAGCCAAATCACTCGTGAAAATCTTAAGTATTACTTCAACCCTAGTATACGTTTTTGTTGTGTTTGTTTCATTTTCTTTTTTTTATAATTCAGCATGTAGGCAACTGGAGATGTCAGAAGATGTTAAACTTTCTACCGAGCTTAACAAAGTCGTTCTGACGGAAAAATGTCGAAGTGAAGAGGAATGTAGGATACAATTTGTCTAGATTCTAGACTTTTTAGTTCAACCACATGAACCTCTATTCAAAGATATACAAAATGGAATCACGTTTCGGCAGTATATTGGCGAATCAGATTTAAATAGCATTATCAATCTCATTGCTAACGATCTCTCCGAACCTTATTCTATATATACTTATCGATACTTTATATACAACTGGCCAAAGCTGTGTTTATTGGTTTGTCTTGTGAATTTGTGTTAATTATTGAACTGTAAAGGCTGTTAGTGAGGACGATACTTGTGTGGGCACAATTGTTTGCAAAATGGAAACTCATTTAGAAAATGTTCGAAGAGGATATATAGCTATGCTTGCAGTTGAAAAAAATCACCGTAGAATTGGCATTGGTTTATCGCATTCTATTTTAATTAATTTTTATCTAACATAGGATCACGGTTGGTTCAACTAGCAATCGAACTTATGATTCAAGATAGGTGTGATGAAGTGAGATGGCTTTTTCAACATTTTTCTTTTCACATTCGTATCAACATTATTGTTGTGCTGTTTTCGCAATCATCCGATTCTTTTCTGTCATGTTATAAATTTTTATTCACCAGTATCCGAGACATTCATCGGTGTTGAAATTTGTTGTTGCCCTCTCTTCTGTAAATATAGAGTACGCAATACTCATTTAGTGTAATCCTAAGGTTTAAGCATTCAATCCACAACTCCATCGAAACCTCATTTCAATTCCAGTTTAGTTAACTGGATAGTATTTTTAGCCTTCCTGCGAGACGTATTGTTCAAAGCTGGATACACAACTTTCTCCCTAATTGTTAAGTTTCATCAGATTCCACAATATTAGTACTCGTTTGGGCATATAGTTTTGTTAGAAAGGAATCTCGGATAAGAACTTGGATCTCCAGAGGATTATTGGGCCTAAAGTAGTGTGTGCTTTTACATAAATGGGCAGGTAAAACGTTCACTTCCTCCAGTTGATTTTTTATGTTATCCTTACAAAACAGAGAACACCACTACTGCTTCATTCCACTTCATCCACCCGTGCCATGTCACTCAATCATTCATACTAAAAAAGTAGATAATTTTCCCTTAACAACTTCTCGGCTTGTTTCGTCGTAACGTTTTCAGTGATATAAGTCAGTTGGTCATAATCAGTCTGGAACCTGACACAAATATGTGTTAGCCCAATTCTTAACACCGAATCAGCATCACGGTATTAATTAAGTGAGCCATCATAGTAGGCAAGGCTGGTCAACGCATCGAGGTCGTACACATCGAATTGGTACTAGTTTGTTATAGCGGTAGAAGTCATAAACTTCATCCCAAATACTATCCATCAGTTCTCAACAGCCTGTCTTTGGATTTCTAAATTCTACATGTGTATGATAAACTTCCATATGTTTTTATACTTCACTCTTTGTATTGTTTTAGATCGTTTTAGAAGCAGAAGTTGACAACAAAGCAGCCCTTTCACTTTATGAGCAGCTCGGATTCTACAGAGACAAAAGACTTATTCGTTATTATTTGAATGGAAGAGATGCTTTTCGACTAAAATTATGGCTTACGCCTCGTATGAGCAATGGTGTTTTATAGTTTCACTATTCACTTATTGTGTATTTACCTTTTTAAAGTCATTGTAAATACATGATTTATTTTCGTTAAACTTGTTGAACCTAATGTTTTCGGTTTACATTCACTAATATTTCGACCACTAAGAGATATCATATAACATGTATACTGAATGTTCATTTCATTCTTTAAAATACATGGTAATCCTTGTCTTAATGTGTTTTCATTCAACCATAAATCTGTTAATACACCTGAAAGCGGATTCCAGATTTATTTGTTGTTAAAGCTTATTTATTTGTGGAGTAAAACTAACGATATTCATAGAATATTTTGCAAAAATATCCGTGATGATCTAACCAAGCACCCTTGTTTTTTTGCTACAAGACATACGAAACTGTTTCCATTGGTAAGAGTTATCAACAAATATTCATGAATCAGTGCACATGCTATCATAAAATTTCCCCTCTTTTGCCCATAAACCACCTTCCAGGTGGGATTTACCTGGCAATTGTAATTTTCTCTGGCTTCCAGAATCCTAAATTATCTTTGAAGCCATACATATTTCCAGTGTCTTATATATTCCTGATTTGCATTGCAACTGCATTTTTTTCAGGGAACTGCGTACTTATATATTGTTAAGTTGGTGTATGCTCCATAGTTTTCTAGTCAGTAGTTAACATTGTTTTTCTGTGCTCTTAGTGGTCTATAGGCAGGGGACAGCTCCCTTTTTTAGCAAGGAAGATTTCATGTGCGTTAAATGTAAGGGTAAATACTCATAATTTAATAGCTCTTATCAAAATCAAAGTTTGGCTAAATGGTTATGTATAAAAAGTTTAACTCCTAACACTTTGCATCATCATGGTCATTTAATTAATAATTCGTTAAGTTTCTTTCGTTTTTTCATCTCATGTTGAGTGTCATCGGCTGCTTTAGTCGCTGTTGGCGAACTTCACCAAAAGCGTTCTTTTTTCTATATCAGTAGGTGGGATTATTATGGAGTTAACTCTTTGGTGCCATGAGTGAATTCGTAAAACTAAGTGCTGATTTTATAAGATTGTATTTGTCATAAGTCCTACTTTTAAGTATCTAGTAAAACTAAGATAATTACTACTTAGAACAAGTAAATTAGATGTGAAGCTGTATTATTCCGTTTGATAGCATACATTTGGTTCCTTCCTAATTTAAAAAGTGTCGTCAAATTCTTAGGCAAAATAAAATAACTTCACTTTATTTCTGTAGGTTCTCAGCAGCTGCTTGCAACTCGTGGTTTTTCAAAATAAAAATTACGAAATAGATTAATTATAAATAAATCCAGTTCCAAGTTATTGCAAACACACGTTGGCATAGTACAATGGAAATGTAGATTCTGTTAGTAGGCTATCCATTTGCCTAGCTGAGCGTTAATCAATAGGAATTTCTTTATCCGGTTGGTCGTTAACTCCTAAGACCGTACTGTGACAGGATTATGCTGTATTGTTTGCTTTTCTGATCTACAGGTACCACTGTTACAGAATTATTATACATGGGACCCTAGTAATATGAAATTGATATAGATGTCCTCAGTTAATCTTGTTCATTTTACAACAAAAGTAAACAAAATGAATTTCAATACACAGTATATGTGATTAAGTATTCACGAAAAAAACCCTGTGAATCTCTTAGGGAATAATAATCCAGGTTGTTTCTCTCTAACTTTTTGCCAGTAATTAGTATTTGAGGGAGCTTGCGGAGATTATTGAGTTTTATAGTTGACATCATGGACTGGTCTTAGAGAACCGTTGAAATCAGATAGTGCTCAATAGCTGTTTCGTCCTAGTGTAGGACCCTCAAATGACAAGGAAATGGTTGCGCAATATCGTTAGTTGACTGGAGGTGAACATATAACCCGCTGGATATCCGCTCAGTGGTTTAGAAGTTAAGCGTTTATCGCGGCACCGAATATCCTGGGTTTGGTCTGTAGTGAAGTTGCGTAAAAGCGCTGCCGAGGAGTCATATACTAAGGCGAAACCTTTGTTTATAGCCTCCTGCTTTCAATAATTGTCTAATTCCAGTCTACAATGTTAACTATAGTTAACACTCCACTGATAATTACCAACAAAATATAGTCAATACGTAAAAAAATGAAATGAAAACATTTTAAATACTTGAGATTATGTTATTTGTTTCCATGTGTTTGTACATATATATTTCTGTATGAATTTGCCTAGTTTTATTCTAATTCTATCGTATAAGACAATATTAGTAGTATATTTTTACTAATTCACTTATAAATTCGACTGGAAATTAACTAAACTAAATAAATTTCTACTAAGTTATTAGACAAAAGTTGAAATTTTCCTTAGTTTATAAAGATATTTATTATGGAACACTTATATTACTTTATATTTCCTTAATGACTAATGTATAATATATGCTTACCAATATTTTATATATAACATTATTGTTATGACTATTTATTTTGTCATTTTGTTCTATATTCATTAAAACAAAAGAAACAGTAGTATTCCATTAAATAAGAGTGAATTTATTGACAGATGATTTTTTAAAAAAAAGTAATATCTTATTCCTGTTTTAATTTTTTTTCTTTACTTGTTGCTAAGTGGTTTTTATTCTAACCCCCTCTTTTAATAATAATTTTAAAGATAATAAATTCATCAAAAATTTTTTTATTCACAATATTTAATATATGTGAATTAAAATGACTACTCATAGAATATCCTAAATGATGATTGGGTTCTTTAAAATGGTTTTTTTAGAATATAACTATGTTAGTGAATAGTGAGTAGATAAAAAAAGGGAATATGTGTAAGAGAAAGAGAATAGTATATAAAATAAACTAGAAGGGTGACAGTATCATGGAGAAATTAATAGTCAATTGTTTTAAAGTCTATTGAAATAATTAGTTTTAGTGTTTAGAATTAGTGAAAGAGAAATTCATAAATACATTTAAACTATTCTATCATGGATGCACACTGCTGAGGAGTCTCACAATAGGACGAAGCGGCTGTCTAGTGCTTCCAGGTTTTCCATGATGGTCTAGCTTCAATTGACTCATGATTTCAGCTAGTTGCCATGACTAGACTGTACGTAAATACAAGAAAAGAGTGAGTATCATTGAATGGATTGTAATAAATCTATGAGGGAAATGAATAACAGTGTATCAAGTACTGATCGGTTAATACAAATAATACATATATCAAGTTGTAAAATTAATTTCGCCATATTACCTGGTTGAAAATAACAGATTGCCCTTAATCTACGTTTAGATCTAATTGTTACGCATTGACAAGGCCCATCTTTTTTCTCATATAAATCGAAATCACTATTAGTAACCTAATCTTTGTTATCCAGCCTCACACTCGTAGACGTTATCATTGGACTATTCACGGCGCAAATAAACCATAAATCTGAGATATTCACACGAGCTAGTCAGTATGTAGCAAATTGGTCAATGGTCAATCCTATATACTAGAGAAGTACGACATTAATTATTGTACAGTAGAAAACTATCGTTAACTTTGTGATATTGAGTAACGTACTGGTTTAATAAGTCAATATTACACAGTGTATCTACTTCCATCATTTCTGTTTCTTTTCATCAGTTCACATGCACGAAAGCAGGTATACCTGGGAAATAAAGCTGTTTATCTCTTTACATTTTTGATTTGTACCGAATAATCTACATCTCAAAGTTTAAGTTTCATTTACAAGTGCTAAAACTTCTCACATAATTAATTCAGGACATTAAGTCAACGTGCTATAGGTCATTACAATATGTGATAATCTTTAACTGTACTCTTATTTACCAAAGTTATTGTTATTATATTAATGAATAAGTTATTAATTTTCTTATTTCTTTGAAAATACAGTACGGTAATATTTTAGGGTCAATCAGTCAGATTGTTTGGTTTAGAGGTTTCTCATCTGATGTCTAGCTGTGAAAGTCGCTAGTCTTCTTTGCTCCACACTGAGTAGTGAGCTGACAAAGGCAACCGAACAATGTAAACTATCCTTCATATACAGAGGGGATAGCGTCTGTGATAATCTTAAAATTACACTAATCAATGCAACTAAATAAATAATAATAACTGTGCTTAGTTGTAAAACAATTTGTGGTTCATTCTTGAAATTCTGCAAAAAGTCATGGTCTGTGGGGTTAAACAGTATCGAGAGTGAGACAGAAACCGTTAATGATACAAAATAACCATCGTAAGACATCATGAACTGATCGAACTTGTAAATGTGAACTACTGATTTATAACTCAATGGTCTGGAGGTAACTCCCTCATTGTCATGCCTTTAAATCGTAGGTGCAACTCCTGGCTTAATCTCAGGTACACACTATTAAAAGGACTCACACCAGTATGGAACATGTATGCAGTTCTTCATAGTTTTCAACAAATTATCAGCTGAAATCAGTACTTGACGAAGATTAAAGTTAAAAAAATATTTGAGTATTGCTTCATTGTTTCGTTCCCACCATTATTAATAACTTGCTATGGAAAAATCACTGCTGTTCGACGATTATCAAAATACTCTAGGACTCAGTAAATGAGAAAACTTATTGGCTTACAAAAAATGTCCCTTCTACTATCATTATTTGCCTTAATTGAATGATAAGTTATTTTATGTTTTATGGGTTCATAACATATGCGTTCAGTTATATTAACAAGTTATAAAAGAAATGCAGCACTTTCAGACTAGTGCATTTCATAATAGCCTAGATATATTAATAAAGCAGAAACATCTTGTGAAGTCATTTCTGGGTAGTTTGCAGCCAACCATGATAAAAAACCCATCTTCTACCAAATGAAACAAAGGATCTGCTTGTGGAATCTAACTGACATAATAGATTTCGTCCGGTTGTATTTACTCTTACTTAGAGTAATAAATGATCATAGAGGGTATTATCTAAAGGAACCCTAGAATATATTCCGAAGAATATGATAATGAATGGCTCAGAATTACTTAGCAGTCCCAGAGGAACAAGTAGAATGGCTACAGTTCATGCAGTATATCCTGCCAATGATTTTCGTATGATAGATAGACAGGATAACTGGGGACTGTTACATTACGTACGAAAAGCAGTTATTCGCTACTCTAACTTTAATCTATTTGTACATAGAGAGTATATTTTGAAAATTTTAAATCGGTGCGAGAAAGTGCGTACTTTTATGATTTGTTTTTCATGGATTAAAATTAATCGTTTTTCCCCA